CTCACGAACAAAGTGGAAGTCGATAGCTACGTGTTTCATGCGAGAATGAAAGACGGGATGTGAGTAGACATATGTACCGCTGATGTTATCACAGAAGACTGTCGGTGGGTTACTGAAAGTGATCTTCAGTTCAGCTAGAAGTTGACGTAGCCTAGTGAGTTCAGCTGAAGTAGAAGCGACTGAGCGGTACTCAGCTTCCGTGGATGAGCGAGCCACTGTATTCTGTTTTTTTTGGAACTCCAACTGATGGGATTACAACCGAGGAAAACAACATAAGTGAAGGTGGAGTGTCGGGTGTCCGGATCACTTGCCCAATAGGCATCAACGAAAGCATGAAGAGATAGAGGTGTAGAGGCGGATAGAAATATACCAAAATGAGCAGTGCCCTGGAGATAACGAAGAATCCGCTTAACAGCTTGCCAGTGTTTAAGTGTTGGATGATGCATGAATTGAGCAAGTTTGTTGACAGCAAAACTAATATCTGGTCTTGTGAATGCTAGGTATTGCAGAGCACCAAGAGCACTCCTGTAGGTGGTGATATCACACAGTGAGGAACCATCATGAAGAGATAAAGATTCACTGGTAGAGATAGGAGTTGATGTGGGAGCGGCAGAGTCCATTTGAAGACGGTGAAGGAGATCACGAGTATACTTATGCTGAGTGAGAAAGAGACCATGACGGGTACGTGTAGCTTCAAGACCCCAAAAATAGGATAGAGGTCCAAGGTCCTTAAGAGAGAACCGATGAGCAAGAGATATAATACAGGAGGATAGAACTTCAGTACTATTGCCGGTGAGAATAATGTCGTCCACATAAACCAAGAGATAAAGAGTGACTCCTTTGGAGGTATAGATGAATAGTGACGTATCACACTTACTATTGTGAAACCCAACTGCGAGAAGATAATTTTTTAGCTCACAATACCATGCTCTAGGGGCCTGATGAAGACCATAAATTGCTTTCTGCAGTAGACATACATGAGTAGGAGCAGTGGCATCAACGTACCCGGGAGGTTATTGCATAAATACCTGCTCAGATAGGGACCCCTGCAAAAAAGCATTATTGATGTCAAGTTGGCGAATGGGCCAACGGTGCATGACGGCAATGGTTAGAACAAGACGGACTGTTGCCGGCTTAACAACCGAACTGAAAGTGTCGGTAAAATCAACTCTCAGGCGTTGATGGAACCCTTTACCAACTAGGCGTGCTTTGTAACGGGCCAAGGAACCATCTGGGTTTTGTTTCACCCGATAGACCCATTTACATCCAATAATATTTTGTGTGGGGGAAGCTGGAACGAGGGACCAAGTACGGTTATGAAGGAGTGCTTTATATTCGTCGTCCGTGGCTTTTCGCCATTCAGGGCTAAGGGAGGCCTGTTTGTGTGTGGTTGGGACAGGGGGAATAGAGACATGGAAGAGATATTTGGGATTTGGTTTGTATACATTATTTTGGGAACGAGTAACTGGTCTTGAAGGAATTGGTTGGGGGTTGGAATTAATGGGTGTGCTAGATGGCTCGGAGGAATTGGAAGAGTCAGGAGAAGTGTACGTGTTGGTATGAGAATTATTTGATTGAGATAAAAGGGGTGACTCATCATGAGTGGGAGAGGATATATTGGTGGAAGAGGTATTAGTTGGAAACTGGATTGAGGGAGGAGAATTAGGAGTCATTGAGTTGGCAGAAGAGGATAAGGATGGTTGGCTAACAAGAATTAATTGAGGAGATAAATGAGTGGAGGATGGGTTTGGTGAGGTGTGCGGTTGAATAGGCTGCCTGGGGAGAAAAGTACGAAGAGTTTGGTCATAGTGATTTTTATTTGGGGGAGAATTATTTTTGTAGGGAAATGAATCCTCAAAGAATAAAACATGACAGGTGATATACACTTTACGGGTTTTAGGGTCTAGGCAATGGTGAGCATGGTATAAGTTGGAAAAGCCTAAATAAACACATGGTTGTGAACGAGGTTGAAGTTTGTGGGTGGTGTAGGGGCGTAACCATGGGTAACATAAACACCCAAATACTTTTAGAAAAGTATAATCAGGTGGTTGGTTAAACAATTTTTCATATGGACTAATATTTTGGAGAGCGGGGGTAGGCATGCGGTTTATAAGATAAGTGGCATGTTGAAAGGCATAAGGCCAGTAGTAAAGAGGAACATCGGCCTGAAATAATAAAGTGAGTGTCGTCTCTACTACATGGCGGTGTTTGCGTTCAGCGGCGCCAACATGTTCTGGAGTATATGGGGGAGACATGAGATGTTGAATACCATGTGTAGCAAGTAGAGGAGTAAGAGACTTAAATTCCCCGCCACCATCAGTATATAACGTGCATATTTTAGTCTTAAAATAATTTTTAATAAGAATGTGAAAATTATTAAAGACGGAATACACATCAGATTTATGCTTGAGGGAATAGAGCCAAGAATATTTTGTGTAATAGTCAACAAAGATTACATAATATTTGGTATTATTAATGGCAGAACTAGGAGGTGGCCCCATACATCAGAATAAATAAATTCAAATGGCCTAGTATAATTTATTGAAGAAACATGAAATGGTAGTTTATGACTTTTTGCTTGAAGACAAGGAGAGCAAACTGATTTTTCGGGAGAGCATTGTAATTTATTTGTGGAGAGAATATGACGCTGAACAGTAGAATTGGGATGACCAAGCCTTTGATGCCATAAGTGGGTGGTGGCTGTGGAAGCTAATGGTGGAGAGGGGAAGGGCCATGTGTAGAGATTGTTGTTACTCTGGCCTCGGGCCAAGAATACCCCGGTCTTTAGATCCTTCACAATAAAAGAATCAGGTAAGAATTCAATGGAGGTGTTATTTTGTTTACAGAATTGATTAACAGAAATTGGAATACCATTACCATTTCCCATGAGAATTGAGTCATTGCCATTATAGTCGGAATGGATAGCCAAATTGTTTAAGTCGGAGGTTATATGATGCGTGGCACCCGTGTCCAATAGCCAATTTTGATTGTTACCAGAATCAGGTAGGCTATCTGCCACATTTGTAGTAGGAGAAAACACACCTCTGGAGTGGTATTGTCTGGCGGTGTGACCACTTTTGTCACACAATTGACAAAGTAGGTGCTGAGAAGGAGATACGGAGAAGGCCGTGTGAGAATCACCATTCCGATAAGATTGTTGAGAAGAGGAAAAGCTGCCAGACTGACGTGGGCGGCCTCGACCACCACGACCTCGGTTACTATTGTCACCGCGACCGTGATGGTTATTGTTATAGTTCCGCCGCTGAGTATAATTGGCTGTGATAGGTGTTTCAGTAGTGTCTCCGGCCAGCATTTCGGCATGAAGAAAATGATCACGGAGATCCTCAAAAGATAGAGGAACACGCTGCACACGTAGGGCTCCAACAATTTCTTTGTATTCTGAACCAAAACCAGATAGGATATATGACATGATATGTCCATCAGAAGGAGGATGACCGATGGTAATCAAATCATCTATGAAGCCACGCATGATGGTGAAATATTCCATCACGGGTTTTCCAGCCTTTTTAGTTGTAGCAAGGCTATTGAGTAGAGAGAGCATACAGGTTGTGGACTTGTTTACAAAGCTAGATTCTAACTTCTGCCACGCATCAGCAGAAGAGGTGCAGTTGTTGATAATTGGACTGACCGTATTTGATACGGTGGATTGAATTGCAAGTAGGACAAACCGATCTTGCTTAGTCCAGAAATGATATGTAGGTGAGGATTTGTCTGGTTTCTGATTCCTGCCATCCACAAATCCTAGGAGATCATATCCAAAGAATAAATTAGTGATTTGGGCCTTCCATGAAGAGTAGTTAGAGCCGTCTTGTGAGAGTTTCAGAGGGATTTGAGAGGAAGCATTGAGGGATATGAGTTGTTGGGTAGATGCTGAATCAAGAGAGATTGAGGAAGACATTTGGCTGGAATGGAGGGTGGGATTTTCTGACTTTGGTTAAGCAGGCCGCAGGGATCAAGACAGTAACTTTACTACCGGCTCTGATACCATAAAGAATGGTTCATACGTGAGCAATATGAATAGGCAAACTCAAGATTAAAGCTTTGTATATATAACTGTGATCATTTACAGAGTGTACAAGCTAGTATTTATACAAGCTAAAGTTGGTACTGTGATCCACTACGTAAGGGACCAATCCACTATAATAGGGCAGTTCAAACTACTAACTGATAATATTAATGAAATCCATTAAGAGGAAATATTATCTACTCATTAATATTATCTATCAGTTGCAGTGCTGCTACAATAAATTTTCATACTTACACCTGGTGGTGGACTCGGTGCCGCTCTAATGTCAGTTTTGATCCGGTCCGGTCAAGGACATTACAGTCCCTGTCCGGTCTGATAAATGACCCGGTGGTTCGGTCCCCGATTTTTTAAAATCATTTCTTCAAAGCGAAGTGTTTCAAAAAAGTCGTTGTGTTGCCAACTAACAGGGAAAAGGGAAACAAATTAGTCAAACTACTATTGGGAATGACTGGGACCGGGCGGTTTCGATCCCACCTATTCTATATCCGGGACAAGGTACCCTACTTGGATTGTACTAGGTTCAATTTTGAATCGTATCTTCTAGCCTGTTCCAAGCCAGAATCGGGTGAAGATTTTGATGAACATGTTTTCAAGTTTGAAAATAGAAAATTGGAGATATAAAAACTGAATAATTAAAACAGAAAATTGGAAAACGGAAAACAAGAAAAAAACAGGAAAATGTCTCAATTAGTAAAAGATCCTAAAACAAAAATTGCCCTAAGTAATAGTAAAAACGTTTTGAAATTTTCAAAATAGAACTATCATATTTTTTATTCCCTGAATAAGAGTAATTTGTCAAGTTTGGAAAAAATATCATGTTTAAAGCCTAATATTGCCAAACTTGAGCAAAAATTTACTTCTATTCAAGAAATAAAAAACATAATAATCTTATTTTTGAATTTCAAAACGTTTTTATGGAGAATTCTCTCATACTAAAATTTCCTGAAGTGATGACGTATGATAAGATAAGACGACCTCAATGTTAACATATCTAAAATTTCCTAATACTTCAAATTACACCGACCAAAATTATCTGTTCACACTAGCATCATTTCAACCCGGAAAAGGGTTTGGCGTGAAGAGGTGAGGATTGGGAAAGAGAGATGGGGAGATTATTTCTGGTGGATCTAGAAGGCAGAACATACAACTGCAAATTCTGTAAAGCGCAATTAGCCCTTGCAGACGATCTTGTTTCCAGGGTATACTTTATCTCTCATTTCAGAACATTTCCAGTACTCGTATCTTCATTATTTATTACGCACGTAGTAGTATTTATTTATAACTTTTTGTTGTATGTATTTATAACTAAGTATGCTTTCTTAGGCTAAAATATATCAGTGTTTTTAATGAGAAATGACCTGTTTGTGCATGAAGTGAAATGTGCTGTTACCTGTTTGTCTTTGTCTAATAAACATGCATTAGTGATTTTTAGCTTTAGGGCTTCCCTAGATACCTCTTTGACATTCCGGTCTTGTTAATTGTTATGTCAACTATGTCAAGTGCATAAAACGCTGTGCTATGAAGTATTTCTATAATTGGTGTTCTTCTCAGTATGGATGTGAATTTTGCTACTTGAAAAGCATCCTATGAGCTCACATTGCAATTTTTTGAGGTTTATAGTTGGAATATGGTTTAACAAATTGTTATTTGATGAAAAACATAATGTGGAATGCCAATACAACTATTCACGGAGCCACGGAGGTCACCTTGTGGATGAATCTTTTGATTCAGCTCGTTATGTAGCCTGTCATTCTTCTCCCTGTTCTTTCATTTATGATACTCCGTAATAATCATAATATACTCCCTCCGTCCCAAATTGTATGATACTTTACGTTTTACGATGTTTGACCGACTACAAAGCAAATTGATCCCTGATAACACTCAAATTAGTTTTAGAAAATAAAATTTACGTATTTAGAAACTACATTAAAACCGCTACAAAGCCTGCAAAAAATAATTCAAATTTCATAAACTTTTGATATATAAAGTAAAAGATTAAGAGTGGTTTATGTTGACCAAGTGAATAGTAAATGTATTTTACAAATTGGGACTGAGGGAGTACCATTTTAATTTACTTGATTACGGATTTGCACAAGAGTATACTCCTTCCCATACCATTGAATTGTTTTCTGATGCTTTTTTGGGGTTCTTTTTATCTCTCAGTTAAGTAAATACGTTGGATCATTGATTACTTTTTTCACGTATTTCCCTTCTAAGAATTAATACTAAAACATCGAGAAACATATTGTATCATAAATAGTGGTATGTTTGGTAAGATAATATAAGTTCTGTTTGACATAAAAATGTTGCACATAATAAGACACATTCATTGCTCACTTAAAGTATAAATGATGTTTAATTATGTATTTGCATCACATTTGGAGCAGTAGACATATAACTTATTTGTGATTTCTTTTAAAACAAATAATACACTTTGGATTGATGTGTTAGTAGTAGTAACTAGTAAGTGGGTTATTAATGTGGCCTATATCATGTGCAGAACTCTACATGATAGAAAAACTGATAAAATTTATATGAGGCTTTTTCCAGTCTGGGTGCATGTTCACATTCACATATCATAACTCATAAGTATTCAAGTTCTTTTTTTGTTTGTAGTCAACTAGTCAAGTAATGCTAAAGACAATGGTTGCTTGAATATCATGATTTTCTAATTTAGACCTATCTGTTTTTCCATTTGTACTTTTAACAGAACTCATACTATATCATATCCTGATAGTTTCTTTTCATTTCTGCAGGCATTCCATTGTCGCAGAGGGAAGGCATACCTATTCAATAATGTGTGAGTAACTCATTCAGATAATTACCTTTGTTTTTATGATACATGTTTTATGTACCTTCGCAATTTGCAAATGGGCTACCTGTTAATACATTTGGAAATTGTCTCCTTTTTGGTGGGATGAACTTGGTTTTTAATTTTTTTTTAGTAAGCTCTGAATCTATCAAGATTAAACAATGTGTTAGTTCATACAGATACAAATCCTTGTTTTTTTTACTCAAGGGGGCGTCTGTGGGAGGGGGCCTGGCGGCCTAGACAGCCCTGGAGTAATCAGGCTGAAACTCACTCCATTGAGTTGCGAACCTGAGACCTCCCGTAAGGGAGAGTGAGTCGGCGAACAACTGAGCTGTACCGCTTCCTCTACAAATCTTTGTTAAAAGATTGAATGTTAAGTTCATTAGATTATTAGAACAAGAGAGGGCCAACATTATTTTTGGAATTGCAGTTTGCACCCCAATTTATTACCCAAATTAGAGTTTGCACCACATTTTTAAAGTCATCATCATTTGCACCCAAAGTTTGAGAATTTGCACCATGTTTTTCCTTCCGAATTGGACTTTGCAGTTTGCACCCCATTATTAACCAACTCATACAAGTTTCGGATGTAAATATTTATGTTTTAAAAAATGGTGCAAACTCAAATTGGATGAAAAGTCTGGGTACAAACTCCAACCTCCCCAAATTACCTTCATTGTATCGTCTGCTTTCTGGTGTATTAACAGTGTAAATATCACCGTGGGACCTCCTGAGGACAGACCGATGCTATCAGGAATGCATACAGTTGCAGACATATTTTGCTGTTGTTGCGGGCAAATAGTTGGTTGGAAATATGTACATCCCCTATTTCTCTCCCTCACTATGCATTTGGTTGCAGATTTTAGAATTAATTCCACTTTTGGTCCTACGAGTTTTATGTCATTTTCACATGTAGTCCACATCTTTCACTTTGTCCACTTTTGGTACTTGATTAATGTTTCTTGACCACTTGTTGTCCTTCTCCGATGATTTTAACCACTGGAATTATTGCCGGAAGGACCATGTATGGGCAAAAACACAATAGTCATGTACAGGGGCGTAGCTAGGGGAGGACCAACTCTTACCCTGGCCCAACCCAAATTTTAAAAATGTCTATATTTTTAGTGTAAAAAATTCTGGGTAATTTTTTTTTTTCAAAAAAATTATTTGTACCAGTCCGGCCCAGTGCCCTGGCTTCACCCCTGGTCATGTACCAAAAGTGATCAAAGTCAAAGACGTGGACCAATTGTGGAATTTCCACGGTGTGATATTCCTAGTATCAAAAGTGGAATTTATTTCAGATTTTTTATTAGATTATATTTAGCTAATATTAGGTTGGTTTATGCATCTTCCGGAAGCAGGAGTCTGCACATGATAGTAGCCAAAAGTACAAAGAAGGAAAATTCGTTCTTGAAAGGTATACTCTCCTTTTTTAAACACCAATTACTGATTTCTCCTTTGTACGCTGAAGTTTGACTCTACTTCATGTTTTGATAATTGAACAAGAGGGAGGATTATTGACAGAATGGACTCTGAATTCTACATTGATACTCGCCCGTCAACAAGTGATGCTGAAGAGTGAAGATTAATAATTAAGTTCCTGTGTTTGTATAAGTGAAAAACTTTCTAGGTTGTATACGGTGCGCTTCCCTTTGTAGATATTAAACAAAAAAATCGGTCATCTAATCAACTGCTTTGCTGTCTGTACTTGAAATGCTGTAGTAATAAAACTTCACGTTCAAGTCTGGCTTATGCTATGAGGAACCATACACAGTTACACACATCAACCTACTTTTACTCATGAATATTTTAATTTTTTAATACTTATTTATATACGTAGTATTTATATTATTATAACAAGTGAGTTAATTAGCATTAGGTCAAACATTGTTAACCAAAAGTAGAACTTTTTGGATGCAGTGTGTGTGTGTGTGTATAAAGGGCCGTTAATGAGCTGAGTTGAGTGAGCATGAATATCAAAGTTCAAGTTCGGCTCAGACGCTCAGTTTGGTTTGAGTTCGGCTCAATTTGGTAATAGTGGGGTTCGAGTATGAAGCTCGACGAGCTTTACAAATGAGGCTCAAATTTGGCTCGATAGATGTTTGATGTTCTAAATGAGTGTTCGATAAACTTGATAAATATGCTTGGATGTAGGCACACACTATAGAAGTTTAGCTCTTGTTTGTGATTAAGCATTTAAGCTCATGCTCAATTATTTGACAAATAGATAATTCTTAATAATTATATACTCCCTTTGTCTTTTATAACTTCGACCGTTTTTTTAATCATATCATTTTTTATTTAATTATTCTACGTTCCAGTCAATGTTGGCAAGACGGATTATAGATTTATTAAATCACGTTAAAGATGTTTAAATTTTAACATATATACTAGTATAATTATGTCTATAATTTCTGACTGTCCGATAGGTTCAAGATCAAACTGAACCGAACGCTATATTTTGAACTTCAGACCAGCCCGTGTCCGAATTTGGAGCTCATTAAGTTCACGTCGTTAAGTCCAAAATTAAGCCCGAGCTAGAACGGTTCAAAAATAGTTTGGTTTGTTAAAAGCTCTAATAAACACCAGCTTCGTGCTACAATTATTTCCTTTTTCTTTTTTTTTTAGTACAACTCAATTACTTGATCGTTATCCATTCAAAATAATATGAAATTATAATTTTAAAAATATGAGTTGATTACTTCTTTTATAAATATAATATAAGTATAATATAAGTATAATTTTATGAGTCCCGTTCCTATAATCCTATCAGGAGATCCTGAAGAGAAGTCCCGTGTGCGGACAAGCCCATCAAAGGGTCTTTTTGGTGGAATTTTTTTGATGATTTTTTTAGCATATTTCTCATCAAGTCTAGTTTATCCATACCAAATTTCAGCTCAAAATTCAATCAGGAAGACAATCAAATAAATTATGTAAACATATTGCACATTATATGTGAGGAGAATGCGCAGTATGTTTCCAGTTTTTTTTAACTTTCTTCCCGATCGAATTTTGAGCTGAAATTTGGTATGGATAAACTAGAGTTGATGGTGAACATGTTCAAAAAATTTCATCGAAAAATTCCACCGGGAAGACCCTCTGATGGTCTTGCCCGCACGGGGCTTCTCTTCAAGAGCTATGTATATGAACTGCCCTCTAATTATATACGGAGTATTAAATTATACTCTAGTACTTCTAATAAATATGTCCCATTTAATATTGATACCATTTGGTAATTGTAATCACTCTTGTTTTGTACTATACAAACTTATACCACCCACATATGAAATCAGTGTGGCTCTCTTGTATGAGTTGTATCCCAATCTTAGTGAATGTGTGTGAAATGTAGTAACATTAAACATTTACTTAGCTGCGTGTTTGATAACACATATTTTTAGCTTATTAGCCAGATTTTTACCAAGCACATTTACCTTTGATTTTGAATGCTTAATTGTGTAATAATCAAAATAAGTAAAATTAGAGTTATTGTAGAGTCATTTCAGCTATTTTTCATCTAATTTTTTTGCTTTATTTTATTAATAAAATACTATTATATTTTTCTCATAATTCAGTAAATTTAACCAACTCAGCGGTTTCACCTAAATTTAGGGCTGAAGGTAGCATGCAAGTATTATCTACCAAACATATTTTCTTAGTCCGTGTGAGACTATAAGGGTCTTTCACTCCAAATACATCGTGCCTAATAAATTAGTCGCAGACCAAAGACTTCAGCTGTTTTATTTCTTGAATCCATGTATGCATGCCCAGTCATCCATACTGGAGACCTTCATGTCTTCAAGTAATTCTGAATAACATTCCAGGATGCATGGGATCTGCATACAAATCAAAAGAATGTTGGCTTCTAAGAAGGTTCCCCAATGTAGGATCTCAGATCAAGAATCATTCTCTTTTTGTTTCTTTATGTTTTTGTTCCTGTTATTTGGTCCCTCATGGCTAACAACAAAGGCTGAACCATTCCCAGTGTAATGGTATTCAAATTGCTGTATATATTTATCCTCTCTTCTAAAGGCAACGTGATCATACCTGCTCTGAAAGGATCCCAGATAATCCTACAACTGCTCCACGCTTAGCATAGGAGACAATTTGGTTTGCTAACTCGATAAGAGGATTTGACAGTATATTTGCAATAACCACATCATATTTCTCTTTCTCATAGAACACATCTATATTTTTCTTATCCCGCGTGCTAATTTCTGCGCTCAATCTAGTACCAATTTGCAGGCTGTTAGATTCAGGAACAAGTTTGAGCAGGAATTTCGTAGGTCTAATACCGTTCAGAGAAGCATTATGTTGAGCTGCAGTAATTGCTTCGGCATCTGTGTCAAAACCCACTGAAAGTGCAGCGCCAAACTGTACTTTATAGCATTAGTGGTAAGAGTTCTAGATAATGAAAATTCAAAACTAGATCACCTTCTCAGTCATTAGTTCAGTACAGCTTAAGCCCTGTTTGGGACGGCTGTCAGTTTTCAGTTTTTTGTTTTATGATTTTAAAAGTTACATGATCTACATTATGTGATAGACTACAACTACTCATGCTTGAATTACCCATGCTAACTTTGAAAGCTTTCTAATTTTCCATCAGAAAACTGAACCGTTTTTTAGTTTTCACATAATTTTTTTTTTAGCATTGTACCTTGATTGCAGCAATAGCAAGGATACCTGAGCCTGTTCCAAAATCCAAGAAGGTCTCTCCTCCTTTTATTATATCATGCAGCAAGAAGAGACACAATTTAGTAGTACTGTGTTCTCCAGTCCCAAATGCCAAACCAGGATTTAGAATAATATTCGTTGCTCGAGGATCCTACATGGTCAAGAACACAGCATGTACCTATATCAGTACATCTACATTTGCATATGTGAGAATGAGACATGACATGCTACAGAATTATAAGATTTAAAATAACAATTACAGTTGGATTCATTGTAGCATAAATATGGAAAAAATTACGGTTTCATAATAGAAGATTAGGGGTTGACCCAAATAAATATATAAAGATCAGGCATGAGATCAAATTGTTCACAAAAGGAATCCCTATGAATGAGGCAGATGGGGACTCTTAAACAGAAAAGACAAATTCATACCGGAACAGATACCCACTCAGGTACAATCCAAAGTCCCTCCATAACTTTCACTGGTTGAAAAGAGTCCTGCAGTGTTTGAGATTGTTTGCAAAATCAGGTCACAAATAAGAGGTTGATTACTAATTAACCATTACAAGTTACCATCCACCATGATGAGTAGACAAAGTACACAGTATGAGTTATGAAATTTTAAAAAGGTGCCAAACATGAATCATGATAAATGGAAATTGACATGCAAAACAAAAGAAATTAAAAACTACTTTACCTGAACTGCTCTAATCCAATCAGATTGGTTGTGCACCACCACTTGATAGCTGGGAATATTTTCCAAACCAATGGAATTGGAAGCAAGAGAAATGCACTGCTTCACATCATGACTAACAGAAAATATAGACTCCACGCAAACCTGCAACATTATGTTGCAGTTGAAACACTACACTGATGGTAAAAAATAGTGTGCAAACATTATAATTACCTGATAAACCCCCAAAAACTAAAAAACAGGCTGCACTTCAGCACAAAGTAGTGAGATAAGATCGGGTAATTGATAGAATTATTACCTCATTTCCATCCTCACTTTCATCCACTGTTGTTGAACTGGCTCCATAGCACAGAAGAGCCTCTGAAAGCATATCCTGGCAAGCAAATAAAACTCATTAGCATCAAGAATATACACAATTATTATCCTCAACACGAATCCTAAACATTGAAACAGACCCTCCATTTCCTTCAATATATCTATTCCAATATCAGACGTTCGAGTATGGACACATAAAGTTCACTTTGCTTACAGAAACATCCTTTACGCAGCGAATGCTGACAGAGAGGTAAGATGAAGTGAGTGAGTCTCCACCCGAAGCTTTCGAAGGAAGCAGTGGTGCAGAAGAGGATGATGGCGTTGACAGTTCTGCGCCAGTTGTAATGAACCTGCCCTGGTGTTTTCTAGTTATATGGGGGGTTGGGGTATAAGTGAAAGATGTAAACCAGGAATGTGTTTGGGGTCGGCACATACGGCGGCCGGAGAAGAAGCTGGCACAAAGAGTAGTGGTGGATGAAAGGTGCTTGAAGAAATGACTCCGAAAGGAGTACATAATGGTAGACATGTTTCAATTTTGGTAAAATACATACAAATGCTTAAATGCCCACTCTACAACAAAAAGTTTTGGTTGACATCCAAATTTCCCAGCGTCTCATTTGGCTTCTTTAAAATAAAAACTACTCCGTATTACCTCCCCACATTGATTGATACGTAGTAGAATAGAAAGTGGTATTGGCATAGAAAGTGGTATTGATACGTAGTAATGGAAAAGTTAGAACATTCTGAAGGATCGAAACCTGCGGTGACCGTGTGAAAGTTACAATTCATGTGTGCTGATCGAGATCTGTAGTGCGTATGAGTACAAAGTCTACCATTATTAAGTTGATTGAGTAATCAAGATTTACAACCCCAAAAATGCCTTGTTGAGTCGGGGCATGGGGGACTCTTGGAATTGGGGGTTCAACATCTTGCAACATAAGGAGACTATTAAATAGGTAAATATCCAAAGTCAAAAATATGAATCTTTTTCATTTATTTAGTAATTAGATAGGTTCATATAGGGGTTTTGTGCATGAACAATTATAACACATACAGTTTGACATATATCAAAATAACATTTGGTGCATTAAACTCTGAGATGAAATTCTTGACCTCTTAAATAAATTGGGCTATTTAACATACATTTTAAAATTTACATTTATTCTCTAATTAGTACACAAGGGAGGGAATGACTATGAGAAGGTGGGTGTAGTCCAATAGATGATCATCCACCCCAAAGTCTCTTGGGTTCAATTCCCACCTAGGGGAGATGAGGAAAGTCCTACCTCCCATGATTTTCTCTACCTTTACGGAGTAGCTTAGCGGCTGAGAAGGGAGGAGATGATAATGAAGGCAGTGAGTTTGGATTCGTGTGGTGGGAGGAGCGTAAGCCCGACACCTGGATTAAAAAAACAGAAATTACCCTAAATAGGAGTAAAAACGTTTTGAAATTCCAAAATAGGAGTATCATGTTTTTTATTCCCTGAATAGGAGTAATCTGCCAAGTTTGGGAAAAAATGCCATGTTTAAAGCCTTGTAATTTCCAAACTTGGCAGAAATGTACTCCTATTTAGGGAATAAAAACATGATACTCTTATTTTGGAATTTCAAAACTTTTTTACTCCTATTTAGGGAATTCTCTCTTAAAAAAATGATTATGAGAATAATATTCTTGACCTCATGAGTCGTAGATACGAACTTAAGAAGTACTCTCTCCGTTCCACTAAGAATGAGACAATTGAGTTTACGATGTTTGATCGATGATATAACAAAAAATTCATGTCATCACTCAAATTATTTTTAGAAAAAGAATTATATATTCAGAAAATACATTAAAAACTTTACAAACTCGTAAAAATCAGAATCAAATTTGATAAAATTTGATAAAGTATTAAATTAAGAGTGATTTGTATTGACTAAGTGAATAAGAACACAGACAATCTTAACGGGACGGATGAAGTATACTGTACTCCGCGTCATTTAAAAATTAAAACACATTCATTGTCTTTTATATCTCTCAAAATCTGAGTAATAATACTCGTAATGTAATACGGAGCATTTGATTCCAGGAAGCAGGAAAGAAAATGGTATTCCCGGCTAACCCGTTATCTCTTAGCGTACCCGAACCCGAATTCGAGAACTGGCTTCGAGACAGTGGCTATCTCGAAGTTCTCGACCAACGCACCTCCGACCTCCACCGCCTGTCCTCCACCGCTTCCACCGCCACGACACCCTCTTCGTCTGAAACCGCTTCGGCTACTACCCCTTGCCCAATCAGCAGCGGAATTTTCTTATCATTCTTTTCATTCGTCAGAACTCTGCTCTCTCTACTCACTCTCAATCCCTTCTCCAAGCTCACCTCCGACGACTTTTCCGGCGAGACCCCTTGCTGGACGCTTAATTTCTTCGGGTCTTGTGAGTCGTATTCGTTTCCCTCGTCGCCGGCCCAGGCTCGCCTCAGGGTCCACGAGAATGTCAAGCGTTATTCCCGCAATTATGCTTCACTCTTCGTTGTATTCTTCGCTTGCTCTTTGTATGCACTATTACTCTCTCTCGAATTACTTAGCAAAACGTATCTGCATTTCTTATTAATTCTACTATTTATGGGATCCTCATGGGTTTTAATTCACAACTGCTAATCAGAAAGTTGAGGAATAAGGTGCTGTTCAAATTTGATGAGGAAATGGAATTCGTATTTTTTCTCTAAAACTTATACGGAGTATATTTCTTGCATATTTGAAGTACTAGCGTTGGTGGGTCAAACTCATTATGTATTCTAATTTTCGTCATTTTGGGGTTTTTGGACTTCTTTCTTTCGTCAGGTACCAAATGCCGCTTGCCCTTGTTGGTTTGCTATCGTGCATAGCCCTCTGGGATTTGTTTAAGTACTTTGGTGATAAGCATGGATTAGAACAGCACCCAATAATTAAGCCGATCTTGATTGGGATTGCCCAATGTGGTGAGTTCATCCTACAGAAATTCTTATTTGCATTATAACTGAATGAGCTTGATAATCCAATGTGTTGTGCCAAGAGAGACAGTTCTTGCCTGGCTCAACTGGGGTGCCAATGGATTCCTTAGTTTTTCATTTGAATGTGAATTTATCACTGGTGCCGAGGGATCCCTGGGTTAGAGCTATCTATCAATCCAGTGAAACAATGAAAATGAAAATATCTTGATGTAAATCACCACATGGCATAAGTTAATTCGGATGTGCCTGTGGGTTCAGTCAGCTAGGACCCTAAAGGTTCTTATCTCTTTTAGCAGTAGTATAAAGAATGGATGGTGTGGTATTGGTTACCTCTTTTTCATCTTTTGAAGGCCAGAATATTCACATAGAAGATTTTATGTAACCCTATACTAACAGTATAGGAACTACAAGAAGAAATATCACTCTTTGCCCCTTTTTATGTGTGTAAAGAGAATGGTAGCTAATATTCAGCTCAGCTATTTTGTAAAAAATGCCCCAAAAATCCAGATCTTTGTCAATAAGGCTATGATTTGGATTCCGGAAATTGTTAGGAAAATGAAAGAAAACTGCAAGGAAAACCATTTTCTTATGCTTGGATGTACCCCGGACAATGCAAAGGAATATGAAGTATGATTGATGTTGTTATTAGCTTTATACATATGTTTACATTGCTCAGTGTTTTTATGATGGGGAAAAAATACTGAGTAAGAAGCAATGCTTTGTTTCCCTCAACGTTTTCTCTCCTGCCAAAATTCTTCTATACCCCCCATTTTTCCTCTTCCCTTTTTCACTTAGCTAGTATGTTCTCCATCTTTGAGAATGTATATATTTATGCATTGCCATTTACTAGTCATGCTAAGAAAAATACTACTCCCTCCGTCCCTAAATTTAGTTCCAATTGCGGATTACGAAGGTTGACCGACAATAAAGTTAAATGATCCCTGTGAAAACTCGGATTATTTTTAGTATATAAAATTTACATATTCAGAAACTACATTAAACCCGCTACAAAGCCTCCAAAAAATAATTCAACTTTTATAAAATTTTGATATAAAAAGTAAGAGTTTAAGAGTGATTTAAGTTGACCCTCGATAAGCGAAATAAAACTTCTTTTAGGGACAGAGGGAGTACTACGTACTATATATGTACGTAGTATTTATCAAAGCAACCCCAAATCACAACACTGATGGAGTTACGCTGTTGCAGCAAGTGTGGTTATTTTACTGTTCGCCAATGTCCAAATTGCTCTCTTGTGTGCTCTTGGTGTTGGTTATGCAGGTGATACTATTTTGTCTATATTTATTTATTCATTTTCAAACCATTAAGGTTGTGACAGCTACTTATAGCCATTCATTCTTTTTCTGTACCCTCTTTGTTTGAACCTTGCAGTCTTGATTTTGCACGCTTCCTTCAGGAAGCTGACCCCTTCAAAGCGGCCAACTCAAAGAGATGGAACTAAAAGATCATTGTAAAGTGATTTCTGATCAGCAATTGTAGCATGAAATATAAAAGTTAGCAACCTTACTCAATGCTAGTAGAAGAAAAGGATCATCTGTAGTAGGATCTTGAAGCTTACCATCAATTCCAGGACGGCAAAGCAAATTTGTTGTACTACCAACAATCTGGCGTAATAAATAACTGTTACTAAGTAATTTCTATTTTGGGGAATTGTGATTTCCAGTGAACGAACCATTCCTCTTTTATGCAAATAGTTGGTTTGTGTATTGATATTCAAAAGTAGAAGCCATCTTTGTTGAAGTCACCTGTTACGACCCCACACCGGTGGCTTATAAGCAATGTGTTCCCTCCTCCTAATCGGCTGGTCTTTTAGGAGTGAGTTCTACACATGGACTTATGGCACTGCTACGGGCCTAGTATGATCTAGGTCCATAACAATTGGTATCAGAGCCATCCCCATCTTCCTAGTCCCGACACTCGGAGTGGTGGCCTATGGAGTGGTGGTTTGGGCCCTGGGGGTGCCAACCGTGACCAATATAGCCGTGACCAACGAGGACGTTGGCTCTTCGAAGCGTGGGTATTGTTACGATCCCACACCGGTCAAGTATGGGCTTGGCCGGTGGCTTATAAGCAATGTGTTCCCTCCTCCTAATCGGCTGGTCTTTTAGGAGTGAGTTCTACACATGGGCTTAGCACTGCTATGGGCCTAGTATGGGCTAGGTCGATAACATCACCCTTATTGCAGCTTCTTGGACGATGAATGAATATCGTCACATTATTTCAATCATTATCTTAAAGTTGCATGAGTCATACTTAAATCTAAACATGTTTGAAATGCAAGAACACATATCACAATTCTATTAACAAAAACAAGGTATATGGTTCAAGACTTCAAGTGTCCAACCTTTAGCTATTGTTGTAATGTTGTGTAGAATTTCAGTTTTTTACGATTCTATTGAATAATTTATCATACTTCTACCAACGTACAGACGTACTCCACTGTTGATATTAGCGTGAAGTAAATTAAGGACATCCCTATTATTATAAAAATTAGAAGTAATCAAGCTGATTTGTTCTGATGGATTATAATATTCTCCAAAGGGAAAATGTTATTTCTCTTCCCCAAGGCCTAGCACAAATTATTGTACGAAAGACCAAATTACTGCGCCGTTATAATACTACCTCCGTCCCAAAAACTTTGTCATTTTTAAAACTTTGACCAACTATATCTTTTTATTGGAAATTATTTATAATATAAAATGATATATGAAAATGTTTTTTGTTAACAATATTTTCATAAAAGTATAGAATTTATAACTTTCATTTATTATACTAAGGGTAAAGGGACATAGCGTATATACTAATATACCCTTATACTATTAGGGTAGGAACATATATACCCTTATATTACGGATAGGGGTGGACTCGGGCCTGGTTCGGGCCTGGGCCCGGCCGGGCCTCGGTTCATGAAAGGGGAGGCCCAGAACCGGCCCGGGTAACCCCCGGGTCCGGTTCGGGCCGGGCCAGGCCTCGGTTCATTTTTTTGGCTTTTCCTAATTAACCCCCAACGCTCCCCCTCACCCCAAACCACCTCAAATGGCCCAAAATACCCAGTCCAATCCAAAAACTTAAAAAAACAATTCACAAAAAAAGGGAAAAAAATAAATTGGCCCGGACCGGGCCCAAACCGGCCGGGCCGGTTCACCTTTTGAGGGGCCCGAGCCCGGACCGGAACCCCAGCGGGTCTGGCCTACCCGGACCGGTCCCTGGCCGGGCCGACGGTTCGGGCCGGTTCAAATAGTGACCGGTTCGGGCCGGTTCCGGGGCGGGCTGCCCGGCCCGAGTCCACCCCTAATTACGGAGTATTTTTTAAAACAAAAAACTTATAAAATTGAAATTGAGGTACAAATCAACACTTCCCCTTGATTTTTAAATTTCTCCGTCATATCTAATCCTTCTAACATCACTCTGTGAGAAGTAAAACTCATTCTTTCTCAACCTTTCTCTATCCACTTTCGTATATTACAGCACATGACCACATTTCCCTAATTCTTCTCCCTCTTATAATTTCTTTGTAATGTCTTATTTCTTTTCCTCGATTCTGTCCACTAAGTCTGAAACGCAGAAAATGATTTTGGGGACAAACAGCTCCCAAGATTCAAATCAACATGAAATATAAGTATATAACTCCTCCATACACAAGGAAAGTCACTGTATATACACAAAGCCTTTTCTCCTTTTGCTATCTTTCTCCTTCGAGAATCTAGTGCTCTATAATCAGTGATAACAAGCCTCAATTTATTTAATTATTATCTAGCATTTTTGTAATAAAAAGAATTGAATAAAAAATGTCTGAAACAATACAAAAAGAAACATATTCGAAGAAAATAGAGATGATGTAGACATATAGTGAACAACACATGCCGTAAGGCGTAAGCCAATACACAGACCTATTTTGTCAATCAAATTTGTTTTTGGCACAAAAATGAAAATTTTTTGTTCTAACATATACTCTGTAAAATTCAGATAAACTTGTGCTACATAACTCTCTACCTTTTTGCTCAAAAATCAGGTAAGCTCCTACTATTTCATCTTCCTCTGGACTTGTTTGCCTCGATCATGCAGACATAGGAGGTGAAAGTTTTCTTTTTGGAATAACAGAGGAGCAAAGATAATAAGGGATAAACCCATACAACCGATTAAAGACGACTAGGTTAACGATTTAACGTTGGGTTAACGACTTAAAGTCTTAAAACGTTAGTGAGGGTATATTTGTACCCCAATTCCAATTATATCAGTTTTTTGTTCTAAAAAATAATGTAAGGGTATATACGTTCTCACACTAATAGTATGAGGGTATATATGTCCCTTTCCCCATTATACTAATCAAAATCATGATCCAAATTTTATGAAATGACTGTTTTTTGAGACAGAGGTAGGATGTTTTTACTTGGACTGAAATTTTCTAGTCTGGTCTGAACATAAATGTCTGTGTATTTTCTAACTAGTCAAGTGTGGTCTGGAAGTGAAAACGATCCAAATAAAAATATATGTAGTACTAACACACAAGATTCTAACAATCCAAGAGTATCTAACAAGATTCACACTAAAAATGAAATTTACTTCTCTTATATTCTTCATTATTAATGCCCAATTTTAGTATTCCATACATAGGTGAGTGTTTTTATGGGCAAATGTTGAGATTGAGTAATGATTTCACTCGTTAGAACACACAAATCAGAATGACATTTTTACTATAAATAAAGCATCCAAATATCGAACATTATCCATTACATCATTACTAATAGGGTAACCAGTAACATCATCTACTTGAAGTGAAAGTTAAGCCATGATTGAGCAACTTTCACTAACTGCACTAAAAACGATTGCAGTTTTTCCAAGTAAGCACTAAACTATGATAAATTAATATAAAAGTAAACGCCCGAACTAAAAGCACTGCCTTTGAAACATATTATGAACTTATGATGTCTGGACTTGAACTTATGGTGTGATATCACTATCCTTTGACTTGCAACGGAAAAATTTGGGTCTGAACCCTTTCTCAAGCAACTTCTCGACCTCCTCAAACGGCAACCCTTTGGTTTCGGGTACGAGCAAGAAGATGGCGGTAAGGCCAATGAGCGCAAAACCAGCAAACAATAGGAAGGTGGCCCAAGGGCCGAGAGCCTGGGTTAAGGTTAAGAATGTCTGGCTGACAATCAGATTTGACACCCAATTAGAAACTGCAGCAATTCCTCCTCCTATGCCTCTGTACCTCAAGGGGTAAATCTCGGAGTTAACAATCCATGGTACGGTCCCTATGCCTGGTGCATAGGATAAGATGTATGCTCCTAGTACTAAAACTGCAAAGAACCCAAATTTGCTTGGGCAGCCTTGGGTGTACCATGCCCGCCTTTCGGATTTGCACATTCCTTCCACTATATTTGTCGCAGATAAGCATGCCCCCGGATTATACTGTTTGGACAATGGTAAACAAAGTTGTAAACATTTACATGCCACTAGGGAATATTGCATACCTATATTGGCCCCTACATTTTGCTTCTAAAAATGCGACTAGAAAAAAACATACGACTTAAAAATAGGTCATTCCATCCACCTCTGACATCTTGTTGATTCACCACTGCTGCCAACTATTGATCACTTGTGAGTGAAAAGGCAGAAGTGGTCAATGACCAGAAGCCCATGATCAGAGAGCCAGCAGCACTGGCCAGAGATGAGTGGTAAATGGACATGGGCAGAGTTAGCAGCATAAAGTCTTGGGTTCAATAATGAAAAAATAATGAGGATATAAGGGTTATACTGGGTAGTAGAATTTATCTTTATTTTATTAAGGCTAGTTAAGTAGAAGTCTAGAAAGTTGTCTGTGTTTGTGTTTGCCTGTGATTTGTTTTTGAGATTGTAGAGCCATTGTTCAATGGTAAAAGCTCATAATTTTTTAAAATAAGCGTGATAGCTAAAAAAGTTTTTTTTTTTTTTTTTGTATTATTTGGGTGAAATCATTCTATGAATTTCAAAAGTGAAAAACAGTCTTAGAAATGCTGTCTTTCAGCATTTGAATGTTTAAGAGCAACTTCCCAAGAGGCAAGAGCAATTGCAAACACTGCCTAAAAAGACATGACATATATGGTCCTCTTTAGATAAATTATCAATGTTTAAGCCCTATATGAAGATAATTTTATAACTCCATTGATCAATAGAATGATTGAGTAAGGGAGTGTTTGCAACTGCTTCTGCTTAAAAAAAAGCACTTTTGGAGATGTAAGGAAAAAGTGATTAGTAGTAAAAGTTGATAGTGTTTGAGAAAAAAGTGATTTTGAAAAGTAAAAGTTGGTAGTGTTTGGTAAAATAAGTGCTTTTTGTGTAATAGAAAAGGGAAAAGCACTTTTCACACGCAAGCCGAGAAAAAATAAAAATTGGTAGTGTTTGGTAAATAAGTGCTTTTTAAAGCCAAAAGCTGAGAAGTGCTTTTTTTTAAGCAGTTGCAAACACTCCCTAAGTAGACTTACTTTGCCGGCAGAATTACTGCAGAAAGAACACTCAGGTGCATGTAAACATGATTCACAACTCCAAGAAGCCGGGTTTTGAGCTTTTAAGAAACTCGGGCATGTGGAATTTACTCCAAAGTGATTTGATTCGTAGACACTGACTGCTGGAGAATGGATGCTGGCTTGTTTAAACAAGACCGAGAGTACAACCAGAGATATTATGGTACCTAACATTGAGATGATCAT